AGTTCTTCATATGTTTTCGGAGAGAAAATAAAAATTTTATATCATTTCTTATCTTTTTTTTAATTGTTGAAGAGATAGAGTTTGGTAGATTGCGCGATCCTAGGACTAGTTAAGAGCTTTCTTCCGATATACCCTTAAAAGAAAGCAAAAAAAAGGAATTTTACCCGATTTGACTTTAACTTCTTCGTCTCTATAGTGTCTAATTGTATTTGTATCGGATAGATCATAATATATACATATATTGCCTGGTATTTATAGATATTATTACACATCTTGGCAGCATTTCATTGATGATAATCCAAATTCAAAACCGTAATTACGTGTTCGAACTTATCCACATACAAAAAGTAGTTTTCCGATAATTAGGGGTGCATGTTTGATCTTGTTTTACTATATGCTTAAACTTTACGCATGTATGGTCTCGGCCTCGTGATTAAGATTAAAGTGTAGTGTGAGCAGATTTGAAAATGACAATTAATTTGAGACCATTATTTAGAGGAATGATCGCCTTCTTCGTTCGTCTGCACTAAACGTATGTAACACGCAGAAGGGCTTAAGATAGATCCACCTTCTATTATACCCTGTAATGTTCCATCTGTCCGTCTAATGTCTGTCCATGTAAATTTGTGGTCAAGCTACAGGTTTTTCAGATATTTTAATGAAATTCGGTGCAGTGAAGTGTTTTGGCCCAAGTCGGTCTACTTTCTCGACCACTCCCCATACAACGCTCTATTCTGGAAAGTCGTTGTATGGAAAAAAATTGCAATTTTCAAAATTTCTCCACAAAAATGGCTAAGTAATAGTATTTTGGCATTCTAAAATGGTATGGAAAATTTACACCCGCTGGGGCAACTTCTGAATCCCATTTTGAGAAGCCACTTAAAGGGTATATAAGGTATACGTTGGTGTTATTTATAATACATATTACGAAAGCAAAAAAATTATGCTAATTTTTTTATGTGTATGTAACACATTACTCAATAAGTCTCCGATCTGGTAATTATATGGCAGCGCGATTCACATACCCATATGCTTTCTGAAAAGCACCAAACTTCAAACGATAGGTATCAAAATTTCATGACATTCTGACAATTAGTTCACAGGTTACGGCGGCTTTATTTTCCAAGCAATGCAAACTCTGTTGCTTTCTGATAAAAAAAGCCGAATTCAACAATTGGTTTACAAAAGATAAGAAAAGAGCACAACAGCGAAACTTCGTGAGATAGCTGACATTCTGAAGATATCAAAAACCATTCCCCTTCACCATTTTGTATGGCCCGTTTAAGCATGACAAAGTTCCTTTCAAAGTGGTTACCGCTTTTACCCACTTTTGACCAAAAACAAAAAGATGTTCGACCTGCTTAGACGAAATAAAAAGCATTTTTACATGCCATACGTGACACCGCCAATCACCCGAGAAGACGGAAACCGTTCGAAGTAAACAAAAAGACAAAAGACGACTGGCAACGTTACGCTGCGTCTGCTTTTTAGGAGACGGACGGCGTAATGTTCATCAACTATCTTGAAAAGAGTAAACATCGTATAACATTATAAATGGATGCTGCATTCTAACGCTGAGTTAGAACAGAGACTTATTGAGTGATATGATAAGTGTACTATTGAAACTTCCAATGTGCAACTAAAGATAATTTTATTTACATTTCTTATCGAAGAGCGTACATTACACTAATTTTGTTATTCCATATATGCAAACGCGCTTACAACTCTTAATCGCTTGAATTATGCCGTTCTGATGGAGTTTTCAAAACGTAAGATAATGCAATGAAGCTTGCTATATATTTAAATCAAAGCTTCAAAGCCTTAATCTCTTCTTTGAAAATAATTTAAAAAAAAAATAAAATAATATTTCATTCAAATCCTCAGCGATAAGTAGATAAATAAAATTGTAGTCATTAAAACGAAATATATCGGAGAAGTGATTCGTAATCAACGAAGAATTAAGCGATCGTAAGGAAAACATATCATTTTTCCTTTGTTTTCTCGCTTAAAATTGTATTTCATTTTATTTTAATTGATCAGCCATAACTTATGCTATGAAATGTGAAATATGTATTGTATGTATGGTAATCGAAAACTGTTGTGACATTTTCTTCTTGAAATTTCAAATTATATATGAAGCTCTCTTCATAAATTGCGGCTTGTTTTTAATGTCATATCAAAATACAATGACGATGAAGTGCAATATTATTATTCCACACGTATGTAGTTATGCATATAACAACGGCTTTCCTATACGTACGTACAATAAATGTAAAATTTTCATTGCTTCTTTTTTTTTTTTTTTTTTTTTTTCTTTTAAATCAACAAAGATAATAAAGAACGAATAGTAATGAAGTTATAGGGAATATGTAAATATTTACACACGTATGTGAATAGCTTCAAATTGTACAAAAGAGAAATTATATGCGGTTTAAGACGAATTTTTCAAATACCT